TTATAGCTTGAAGATAAAAATGCTCGGGCTTTAAGAAAATTGATCTTTGTTGATCAAAAGATGCATTTCCTTCTTTTGGTACAAGATAAGAATATCTAGAAAGAGTGTCTGATAGACCTTGTTGTTTTTTGGATCGATAAGTGATCTTGAAATTGAATCTAGATAAAGACATACTTCAATGGGCTTGACGACAATTTAGGATACGTATTGGCATGAAGTACTCAAGGTTCTTATGGTCTATATACATGGTATCTGGACTTGAAGTGCCTTCTAAATAATGATGCCATTCTTGAAATGAATCCACAATTGCAAAGAGCTCATTATCATGGATGTCATAATTAATCTTGACTGCTGAAATTTCCTCGAATGAAAAGCTATTGGGTGGAGTTTGTCATCTATTCCCATTTGTGACAATACGGCACCTATAGCAAAATTTGACGTGCTTGTTTCCATAAAAAAATGCCTTAAAAAAGACAACGCAATATAAGATTGGTGCATAAATAAATTCTTTTTTTAAAGCATCAAATAATGCTTCCACTTCTTTATTCCACTCAAGTTTGTCTTTACAAGTCAAACGTATAAGTGAAGCTGTAACTTAAGAAAAAATCTTGATGAAGATTCGATAGTAATTAGCAAAGTCTAAAAAATACTGCACATCTCATACTGTTCTTGGAATCTTCCAATCTATGATAGTTTGAACTTTCTTGGGATCCATTACAAGGCCTTCTTTGGAAATGATGTATCCTAAAAAGTCAACTTAAGTAGTGTGGAATACACACTTTTTTAACTTGGTATATAATCTCACATCTCTAAGTTTCTATAACAAGTGACGAACATAAAGCTCATGTTCTTCTATGTTCTTAGAGTAGATTAGAATGGCATCTAAATAGTAAACAATGAAATCATCTAAAAACTAACAAAAAACATCATTCATAAGATCTTAAAAAGTGGCTGGTATATTCGTGAGTCCAAAAGATATGACATTATATTCAAAATGTCCATACCTAGTTTGAAAAACAATCTTTTATTCATCTCCTTCTTTAATACAAACTAAATTATCTGCTCCTCATAGATCTATTTTGGTATAGATCTTTGCTTGATTGAGTTGATCAAGAAGTCTTGAAATCAAAGGCAAAGGATACCTATTTTTGATGGTGATCTTGTTGAATCTTCAATAATCTACATATATATATATATATATATATATATTCGTAGAGATCCATCTTTCTTCTTCACAAATAAGATAGGAGCCTCAATTGGAGATTTAGAATGGCGTATGAAGTTCTTTGCCAAATTTTCATCAATGTACTCTTTTAATGTAGCCAACTCATTCTGTGATAAGCTATAGATTGGTCCGAATGGTGGTTGAGCTCCTTCTTGTAGATCAATTGAACAATCAAAAGGTCGATGCTCCTACGCTGTTATGATCTTTAATTGCTATATCTAAAGGAATAGTTTTATGGATAATATTTCCAGAAGACAACGAATGACCATCTATGACTTCTACATGTACAGATTTAACTTTCTTCACTAAAGGTATTTTTTGATTTTTGATAAAATCTTTGTCTATAAAACATGCTGAGGCTCTTGAATCTAACAAGGCAAAGGCTTTGTGATTATTAGGTCCTAAATGTACTTCTATTATAAAACAAGGTGAGAGATTTGAGGAGATGATAGGACCTTTACTAGGTATTGCATATGATTCCAGCCGCACGGTCTTTATTGTAGTTGGAGAAACTTGTTTTTTAATACATTATCTTTTTTGGTAATTGTGCTCCTTATTTTGTAATTATGTTGTTTCTTTGGAAAATATTGAGTAGTATGCTTAGCTTCTCTATAATATAAATACAACCCCTCTTGGCAACATCAAGTCTTTTTCTGCTTTGTGAGAGGTTTAAAATATATCATATCAATTTACATTGGTTTTGACTTTGACAAATACGATTGAGAAAACTTGGGAGCTGCCACCATTACTAGACTTGTTCTTCTCCAACCAAATCTTTATTCTTGATGCCTTTCAAATAAACAATTATTGCATGTAATAGATTGAGTAATAAATTGTTCTAAAGATTCTACTTTCAGCATTGTTAATAATAAATCTTTGATACTATCCTTCAATCCATATCAAAATTGGTTGATAAGTGCTTTATCATTCCAATCCATGTCACAAGCAAGGTTTTATAATTTGGCAGCATATATAGTGGCTGATCGTGATTCTTGTTGTAAAATAAAAGCTTGATCTCTACTACTCGTTCTTGATCACTTTCTTTGAATGTGGCCGTAAACACTTCTAGGAATGAATTCAAATCATAAAAGAGACATGAATCTTTTTCCATTAGAGGTATAAAATAAGAGAGAGCACTTCCTAATAGTAGTGCGCCTATGAATCCGACTTAGATAAATCCATCAGGATATTGGAAAGGGTGCAACCTTAGATAGAACTTGAGTTGTTGCAAAAATCTTCAAAATTTTGATCTTATTCCATCAAACTTCTCAAGCATACTAATCCTTATCCCTGTCATACTTGTAGAAGTAAAACTCCTTGGATTTGGTTGTGACGTTGATCTATTTGCTTCTTTTAACTGCATCACTTCTTGTCGCAGACTCTGAACTTCTTTCATAGGCGTAGGCATAGTACTTTCATGATTCACATTGGAAATACGTGAGAGTTCTACTCTTATTGTATTGACAAGCTCATGAAGATCTGCCATAGTTGTAAATCTATTCTTACTTTTATTGAGAGTAGCATCCATAATCTTTCCTTCCATAGACAACTCAAACAAATTCAAAAGTTAAATTAGATGAGGGTAATCTACAACCTCTAAAAAAAAATCCCACAAAGAGGGGTAATTTACTCTCTTTAAGGAAAAGATCAGTATTAGAAAACAAGATTTTTTGTTTAAAGGTAGATAGTTCGTAACCTTCAAAACACAACAATAGAAGTGGGATAATCCACTCACTCCTAAAACAAGACAGAAACAATATATTAGCACTCTTGTCAAACTGTCAAGGACATGAATCTCGAAAAAAGAGAATCCTCAATACACTCTTTTATCATTGAAGAGAACTAAAAAGTCATTCAAAAGGTGATGTAATATTAACTAAAATGGCTATTGTCAAAGACAAGAAGACTAGAAAGACTTGGAATAAGACTAAGGATTAGAAATGCATTGACAAGAGTGAAGAAGGCTTCACTCTTGCCTCCATATATACTATCTAATCAAGAGCTATGTGGCGATGTCCTATAGGACCTCCAACATGTATTGACTTTACTAGCCACATGTCTTATCTGGCAAGGCAAGTTATCTATGTATGTGCCACGTAATTGGCTTGTTCCACAAGTTACTACATAGAGATAACTTGTTCTACAAGCTACCAATACATGGTTAGCTTTTTGGTCAAGTTTCTAACCTACAAACACATCTAAAATCAAAACCGTATTTATGAAGCTTTTAAGAAGTTTTTCTAGAAGACTTCATGAAATTATTCTATATTTACCTACTTCTACTTACTCATATAAGTAACTATTGAAGTAAATATATATGTCCGTGACACTGTCATGACATGCTTGCAAAGATTAAGCACCTTTTTAAATCAATTAAAAATCTAGCTTAAAGACTTGATTCAATCTTAGATAGATTTGTGGAAAGTACAAGGCTTGCATAGTGCGGAGATTTAGGCCATAGTTTATGATGCTTGAAATCTGTTCATTTGCAGATCCTAATGTGGCTCTCAAGAATGTAAAGGCTTTCATTTAAGATCAAGGCACCTTCATAATGAGTCTTATGATTTTGCTGCATGTATCCAAGATTAAGGCTATGATTTGTAATGTATCAATCTTATTTGATAGGCTCATTGATGGTATTATGTCCATTGTTGTCTTATGAGATTGTAACAATAATGCAAATAATGAAGATATTTTGAAAGTACTATCCCATGATTTGTATGTACTATGGACATCTCCATTATGCATTTCCATCTAGTGATACATGCTATAGTTAGAATCAATTAGATAGGATGTTCAATCCGTCAAAGATATTAAAAATAACCACTTATCCATGGTATACACCTATTGTGAGAAGATGACTTTCAAGGATACCATTGACAAGTGCTATGATTTGTAAACAAAATTTCATGTCAAATGGACTTATTGTAATGATTGATTTTTATAACTTCAAATTTTTTGTGGCACGCTAGCTTCCATTTTCCTTAATACAAGCTTTGTCAAATCTGAGTTCTTTGTAATTGGGTGGGAGAAGTATAAATATTGATAGTGTGCATTATGGCATTCTTGCTTGAGAGTATCCTACACTTTGAACAATTCAACAAAGTATGTCAAATTTGACAAGGATGGATGTTTTTAGATAACTTTGTAGATGAATTTCATCCATTCTTAATTTATCTAAAATAAAACTAGCTACAATCCTAAAATAAGCTAAATTGGATGTTTAAGAGAAAGTCCTAGTTTAAAGAGGCCTAATGATATATCATATGCATTTTAAAGGTATGTTTGATTTTGATTAAAACATGAATTAACATTAAAAAAACTGAAATTGAAATTGCATACTAATATTATGTTTAGGTATATTGGCTAATTTTCATTTCAGATTTTATTTTATTTTATTTTATTTTTTAAAATATCTTATCATATTCTAGAAAAGCCCTTATTTTACATTTTCTAGAAATATGTATTAAATATTTTCCAAAGGCATTGTGGAATTTTCCAAGTAAGTTTTTCCTGTATTTTAAGGTAAAGCACACATCCTTTAAAGTAGCCCTCTAAAAAGGCAGCTTTGTAATTGGAGGCTTATTGCATGCAATGTGGGACACAGAGGCAAGGATGTTTACAAGGGGACGAACGAAGCAACAAAGGACGAAGCCAAAGAACGAGTGAGTGAGTGAACGAATGAAATAACCAACCATGCACGAGGCCGACGAACGAATCGAACGGGGAACGAACGACGTTCGTCACTGGCACCCGTCCAATTACGACGTCCAGCCTCATTTCCTGGCGATCTCGCAGACCAGGGTTTTTGTTCATCGCCAAAGCCAAATCTGCTTCCCGTTGTTACCATTTTTTCTTAGTCTCGTGGCCCTGCACTCTCGCCCTCCGTTGCGAAGGCGGAGCTCCGTGTTCAGGTGAGAGCGCCGTTCCGTCTCAAGGTTTTCCTTGGAGTTTTCGAAACTTTAATTACGTTTCTTTTTTCTTTTTTCTTCACAACAGATGTGCTGTGTACACGGGAAGAACCAAGGAGAAAAAGCGGAGTTCCTCGTCTCTTGCTGTGGACCGTGATGGTATTACGAAAGGTTCGTTGAAGTTGAAAAGTAAGGTGGAGATGGTTGGAAGATTATGAGGCCCTGAACGACGTGTTAGATCACGTTTATGCTGCAGAAATGGAGTATGTTGTACGTTTGTGATTAGGTCTTGGTGATGTCTGGACAGCTTCTTGACAGATGTGCACAACAAGGACTGTATTTACCGATCCGAGATTTGCAGAAGGTCGTGGATGGAATATTGATCTGGAGTAAGCTTTAGAGGAAGTTCTCGAGCGTTGAGGGGTTTTCTTTAAGGCATGACGAGTAGTTCCTAAACATCTTCCGCATTAGAGGATTGGTTTGTACGTGAGGTTTGTCGTTGTGATCGACGGATGCGTCCGGAAACATGGATGTGTCCTGTTGTTCAGCATTATTTGTTGTTGGAATCGGGGTGCTATGAAAGTTTTTCGTCTCTGAGGCATCTGAATAATATTATTGTGATACTTTGTTTACCAAACGTGGCTGATATGTACCTATGAATGCGGGATGTGTTAGGAGGAGATCATGATTTGCACTGGGGATCGTGGCGGCATGAGAGCAAGTGGCGGCCAATAAGTTGTCAGATTTCTTAGTTGCTGTGACCAGGGCATTTGGATTGTGTTGATTGCTTGTTCGCCCCATCTTGGTCTCTTAAGTCTAGACCATGGCGTCCTCCGCCATGGCTCGCCTGCCCATCTACGGCCTGTTGCTGGTGTTTCTCTTTCACTCCGCTGCAGCTTTCTACCTACCAGGCGTTGCCCCCCAGGATTTCGAAGAGGTTCTCTCTTAAACCCTTAACCTTCCCTTTGTATTCCTTTTTGCTCTTTCTCTTTTATTTTCTCAACTGAGATATACAAATTTAGATTACTGAACTGGTTTCTGTCTTGCTCTTAAGATTGCTGCGATTACTCTCGCAGCTTATGACTTGTATCTTTAGTCATACGTTGGAATTAGTTGAGAAATAGAAGCTTTACACCAGATGCCGTACGAAGTATTTAGAGACCACAGATGCTAACCACTTCATGAGGATTTGTGTGCTAGATTCAGTGAATAGCAGCTGCCTTGTCTACTTGCTTCTTATGATTCTTCGACCAACGGAGTATTAGTCCTGAGTTTATAGATTCTGTTTTCCCCACAAGAGCAGGTGGATAATTGGTTTTCTATGGCGGCTTGCATGAACAAATGCATGAGATTTGCGTTCACTTTCCAGCTTGATAGAGCTGTCTCTGACTCGTCGGGCTATATTTTTAATACTGGTGTGTATCATGTCTTTGTATCTGGCAGCGTGATCTTGTAACAGTTAAAGTTAACAAGTTAACATCGACCAAGACGCAGTTGCCGTACAACTATTATTCATTGGATTACTGTAGGCCTCCAAAGATTCAGGACTTCGCTGAAAATTTGGGAGAGGTGCTCAGAGGTGATCGGATCGAGAATTCACCTTACCAGGTGTGTAACTGGTGCCGGCTTGACTACAGCTTGGAACAGTTTCTTCGATCTGCTACATGGTTAACTTATGCTTGTTGACAAAACAAAAATGATAAAGAACTAATCATTTATAGTCAATGTTTTCTCTTGAGCATTTGAGCTTCTTAGTTTTGCTTCTATCTTCTCATGTGCGAAGACTAGGGCGCACGTGTAAAGTTTTTCTGCATCCAAGAGTCCCTCAGTATACAAAGTTAATGAGCACAAACGTTATCCGTACTCAACTAAGAATGTACTCAATTTGATCATCGTTCTAGTATCATTTCGGTGTAGGGTGAACTAGCATTTTAAAGTTCTATTTCAAGGAGAACTGGAGAGTGTTGATGCTTGTTTGGTAATTGACATTAATGGGTGGTGTTTTTGGGGCAGTTTGAAATGATGAATGACAAGCTGTGCAGGATTCTCTGTAAGAAAGTTATCACAGCAAAGGCGCTTAAGAACTTCAAGGAAAAAATTGACAATGAGTACCGTGTTAATATGTGGGTAACCTAAAGATTCTGCACGCACTTCGCGTCTGAATTTTTCTCTGATGTAATTTTTTTGTATCCTACATGGTGATATGTCGTGTCCCTATAGAATTTGTTAGAAGCCTAAATATTTGTGCTTTCGAGTGACCTGGACCTTATGAAGGTAATGTGAGTTAATCGGCCTAGTTGCACTTTCATGTTAATAAACTGTGCTCTGCACTTTTCTTTCGTATTAAGAAGCCATTTGAGAATTAGTGTTGAGATAGTGAGGGATTATGTTTTGAAATCAATTTCAGAAGTAGCTTGGCAATGCACTTGTATTAACCACAGTATGTGTCGAATATCAGGATTTTGGACAATCTGCCAGTAGCTGAACCCAGACAAAGACACGGCAACGGGAATACTCTTAAGTTTTATGATCGAGGTTTTGCTGTTGGACTGAAATTTCAGGTGCGCAGTTATCTTGTACTGTGTTTAATTTTGATTCAATTTTTTTATTATACATTGGAATAACTTGATTTCTGTGTTACCTCGTCTTTTCCAGGACGGTAAAAGATATTTCATCCACAACCATCTATCGTTCGATGTGCTGTATCACCCTATTGGTGAAGGATCTGCACGTATTGTAGGCTTTGAAGTGAAACCATTTAGGTGTGTGACTAATTGGAGAAATCATCGATTGTGGCTATTGTGAAGATTGTGTTGGCATTGCAAGGATGAACTATTCTTTGAACTTGTGTTGATAAAAGTAGGTTTTGCAGACTCCATGACGTGGACAGTAAACGGTATCTAGGTTGTTTTTGTCCATTAGCAGCCTTCCGCTGCATTTCTAATCAAGTGATGCTGATCAACATTTCTTAATAACTTTAGGATGAATAGCATAACACTGACTTGCACTTGGTTATCTGTTCTTTTCTGATAGCGTAAAGCACAAATATGATCGTTGGGAGGATCAAAAGACGAAACTATCCACTTGCAATGCGAACACCAAGACCTATGTGTCCCGTAGTCAGGATCCTCAGGAGTTGCTTGAAGACCAGGAAGTGATATTCACTTATGATGTGTCTTTCCAGGTGAAATGAGTTCTTTAACTCGCTTTTATGTTACTTTACCTCTTAAAACCTTTTTTTTTGTTAAAAACTTCTCCACTTGTGAACAGATGAGGGTATCTCGTTTGGATCGCGAAGTGTAAACCATGTATTGGTCAAGTGTTTCAACTCTGTTCCTCGACTTTCTGATCTTTATGCATATGGTTCGCCTCGTGCAATGCAGAAAAGTGATATCAAGTGGGCATCTCGTTGGGATACATATTTATTGATGACAGACGACCAAATCCATTGGTTCTCCATCATTAATTCCCTCATGATTGTGCTATTCCTCTCCGGTATGGTGGCAATGATCATGATGCGCACTCTTCATCGTGATATTTCTAAATACAACCAGCTCGACGAAGAGGATCTTCAAGAGGAAACTGGATGGAAGCTGGTGCACGGAGATGTATTCAGACCCCCAAGTAACGCTGGGCTTCTGTGTGTGTACGTAGGCACAGGGGTTCAATTTATTGGAATGACCGTAATCACAATGATTTTTGCGCTCTTTGGTTTTCTGTCTCCTGCAAATCGCGGTGGATTGATGACTGCCATGCTGCTTTTATGGGTGTTCATGGGTTTATTCGCTGGATATGCCTCATCACGGCTGTACAAGGCGTTCAAGGGCACTGATTGGAAATCAAACTCCATGAGAACAGCATTGATTTTCCCTGGAAGTATTTTCGTCATTTTCTTCATCCTCAACGCACTGATTTGGGGTCAGAAGTCATCGGGAGCTATTCCATTTGGAACAATGTTTGTGCTCATGTTCCTTTGGTTCGGCATTTCTCTTCCCCTTGTCTTCGTTGGAAGCTATTTTGGGTATAAGAAGCCAGCTGTCGATGATCCTGTGAGAACAAACAAAATTCCGCGGCAAATTCCTGAGCAGGCCTGGTACATGTCGCCCGTTTTCTCCATTCTCATTGGTGGCATTCTCCCCTTTGGAGCTGTCTTCATCGAGCTATTCTTTATCCTCACTTCAATTTGGCTCAACCAATTCTACTACATCTTCGGGTTCTTGTTCATCGTCTTCCTGATCCTCGTCGTAACTTGTGCCGAGATCACCATTGTGCTTTGCTACTTCCAGCTGTGCAGTGAGGACTACCATTGGTGGTGGAGAGCTTATCTGACCTCAGGCTCCTCGGCCATCTACCTATTTCTTTATGCCACTTTCTACTTCTTCACGAAGCTCGACATTACAAAAGTTGTCTCTGGCGTGCTTTACTTTGGGTACATGATAATCATTTCATACTCCTTTTTCGTCCTCACAGGGACAATTGGGTTCTATGCTTGCTACTGGTTTGTGCGGGTGATATACGCATCAGTGAAGATCGATTAAACTGCGGATGCCAGTTTGGGTCGTCGTCAATTTGGAAGATGGAAAGAAGGCGCATGTTTAAGACTGGAGAATGTTGCAGGGCACTTCTGAAGGCCCTAAATTCTAGCAGCGTTCTTTTCTTGAATTGGTGGTCGCTGAAGCGCACATCATGTGAACCTTGATAGGTAGTGGCAAATTTCTTCAGGCATTATGTTTCTTTATTTCTCCAAAACCTGTGGCGAAATGGATTGCTGAGTGTCGACTAACGTAGAGAGCAGTGATCCAGGCTGAGATTAGCCGAGTAGCTATTTGGTGAGTAGCAACCTTTTTCTTAGTCTATCCTCTCATGGAAGTTGTCCTTCCTTATCGACGAAGACTTCACACTATCAAAAATGTCATTGAGCTCGGCTTGATTCTCTTTCCTTCTCTGTTTTTTGTTCTCCCCTTTTTTACTTACTTTTTTATCTTTGCCTTTTTGTTTATTACCTCCTGACGTATGTTACTTTCCTAGGTAGAGGCTGCGACCTTTAATATTTGTTCGTGCAGATTTGCTAATGTATAGCAAGATTTTGCTAAGCTGTATTACAATTCAATTTCTCGATTAGCCAAGATTGTGACTGATGTGATTTTTTTCTTGTAAGAAATATTTGATGCCACTGGGTTTGGTTACCAGGTGACCACGTAGATGGCGTGTTAAAAATAAAACATCATTTCTATGAAGATCTTCAATGTAAATATGAGTGTGTTGCAGATTGTTGTAACCCACGAAGGAAATCTCGTACAATATTATCTACTTAGAGCATGTACAGTCCCATCACCGTATTCCTCTCCTCATATCTCAGTACATTTATCAATATCTGAAAAGCATCTGATTAGATTGCCAAAATCAGACAGTAATTAAAGGCAGCAAGTCACTGAAAAGAACAAATAGAGAGCATAATGGAGTGAAAGTTTAGAATGGGGGACACAATAAAAGTGTGCATTCTGGGATATGAGAAGAGTTAATGAGACCATTACTCACTAAGTGATGTCATAGGAAAATGGCCTCAAATAATGCAAGTAGACACTCCCACAAAATATAGAAGGGACCCAGCAATCCACATGCAAATGAGCTGATCAAACAAGCAAAGGTGAGTCAGTCAAGCAGCAGTGCAGTGGAGAGCTTGGTCAATGGCAATGGCAGCAACCTTCAACAATAGCAGAGGTGAGAGTGTAGAATTCAGCAGCTCAAGCTCAATGAAGGTGTTGGCCATGCACCTAACCCATCCAAGTTATATTCACTTCACATTTTCCAAGTTATAAATACATTGTGGTAGTTGAAGCTGTGAAGCATGGATGGTCATTTGCACACTTTGTTGCATTGCAGAAATTCATCCTTGAAAACTGCACCAAGGTTAGGCATCACAGACCTAAGACAAAAGACAAAATGCCCTAAAGCATGTTGTGCTTCATCCACTTGGGTCATCAACATGGGGTGCTATCTGCTTGTGGGTTTAAATTGTGTGGTGAGGCATTGCCACTACTGAAAGGTCTTATGGCTTTGCATGATACAGTTTATCATTTGTCTACCTCAAGTAATATTTGAATCCAACCAGATATAATATGGCATTATAATATAATTATTTTACAATATATTTCTATTTATATTTGGGCACATAGTTAAAGTGAGTTGCTTTTGATGCCTAGAAATTGTAAAGACTTTTTGATCATGATGCAAAGATGCCTTTGTCTGGTTATCCATGGCAGACATAAAGAAGATATAGTAGGTAGTGTTAAGTATTGTACACTTGTATAGACAATAACTCTTCAGCTTCTGTAGCTTAAAAAATGTGTCTGCCTCTATTATTAATCCAAAGTGGCAGAAATGCTCAGTATGTGTAAACCAAAAACATTAAAATAAAAATAATCCTCCTGGTGAGAGCATGTATATATGTATGTGTTTTTTTATATTTTTGTTATTTCATTTATTTATTTATGTATGATTACGAAGTGATTACATTATCTTAATTGCTATTTATGAATAACATTGTCACTGTAATGAGGTTTAAGTGCAGATGGTATTTAGGGCCATTGTATTGCAAAATAACAATGTCTTTGTATGACTCTAGAAACACAGAATCTATTTTGGGTTATAGGCAAACTGATTGATTTTTTTATTTTGCTTGTACTTAAATCAAATTACAAATAAAAAATAGTTGTTGGTTGACATGGGTGTTGACATGTAGATTGTAAAAGGATTCTTGTTAAATTTTTGAGATACCAAAACAAGAATTAAACATGAATACCAGAATAATTTGCTATAATTTATTTATTATTTAAATAGTTTCAAGAATGACTATATGTATTTACGAACACTAAACACCCTTATTACAAATTACAAAAATCAATATGATTTTAAAAAAATAGAGTACTTAGATTTATTTATAATGTTATAAGTTATTATATTAACTAATAGAATTCTATTTTGCATGAGATTTTGATTTTATATAAAAGACTTGGTATAAATAAAATTTTAATTTCAAACTATTTTTGTAGTGTATCTAAAAATAATTTTATATAATCATACTTAAATAAAATACTAATCTTTGATGTTTTTAGATTACAATTTAGCAAAGATCTATATATAGATGTCATCATTGATTTTTAGTAATCGATTTTTGCAAATTGCTTAGTTATTTCATCTATTACCACAGGTTTTTAGAAACTATTCAAAATTTGTCTCTACATATGATTTTTATTTATTAATTTATATTTTCATAAAGTAATATATTACATTAGTGTATTTCACAAATAATTGACTTTTTGACAAATGCAATGTACTTTTTTTATTGTTACACAACTCAAAATGTCACCTCTTCTCATACAATTAGTATATATACAATCAATTTTTTAAAACCAAAACACTTATATTTTACACTCTTCCATTATGGTTTAACTTCTACATGCAGTCATAATTTATGGTTGCAATTGAAGGCTATTTTAGAGTTGAAGTTACCAGTATCATTGCAATAAATATTAAAAATTAAAAAGACAAATATTTTACTTCAAACTAAATAAATAATGTTATTTAATAACCATGAAATCACATACACAATGACAAAAAAGCACCAAAAGGTCGGTAGTTTGAATCCCACTTGAAGTCCTTTTTAACAGATAACAACACAAGATACATTATTCCAGTTAAATAAGATTTAAAAAAATAAAAATAAGCAAAAGAAAAAAAAAGAAAAAAGAAAAAAGAAATTAAATTGGCAGCTATATTTTGTTAAATTTTATCAATAGGAAATTCATGCTAATTTAAAAGAAAAGAAAAGAAAAGTAAAAAGCATAGCTCACAACACGAAGTTATATTTTGTATTTTTTTTGAAAGAATCTGAGGTAAATAGTATGTATACTTTTCAGAAGTAAATAGTGGAGAGAATCTCTCGTAGGTAAATAGCAAGGGTAATCTTTCCATACACAAATAGTGTGGGCTAAATTCTGTTGTCAATTAGTGTGGGCGGTCTGAAGGATCTTAGGGTTTAGAGGATGTTGCTGCAGAATCGCAGGGAGCTGGCGATTTGCACACCCTCGCTTGCGATCTGCTCGCCATTGCCATGGCTGCTCAAGCTGTCCCTGCGCTCCAAGTGCGACCATCGACGTCTGCATTCGCTTCGAATGTGGACTCTCGGCCGCTGAAAACAGTGTCTGATGTGTCCTTTGTTCGCTTTAGGTCCTCGTGTGCCTGGTCTCGGACATTTCTGCAGGAGCTCAAGCTTCATGCGAAGCAGGAGAGATCGAGAAGTGTAGGTCACGGATGCCGAGCCGCGGTGTTAGATTTGTCTGCAGTGCAGCATCAAAAGGGAGTGGATCAGGGCAAGTCGTTGAATACAGCGTTTCCTGTCCGCGACGATGGCTACATGTACTGCGAGGAGGTGCGGGTGCAGGAGATTATGGACAACGAGGTGGAGGAGTTGCGACCGTTTTATTTGTACAGCAAGAAGCAGCTGCGGAGGAACTACGAGGCCTACCAGGAGGCGCTGCAAGGGTTGAACTCGATCATTGGATACGCTGTGAAAGCCAACAACAATTTGAAAATCATGCAGCATTTGCGGGAGCTCGGAAGTGGTGCTGTGCTCGTTAGTGGCACAGAGCTGCGGCTCGCCGTGGAGCACGCGGATTTCGATCCTGCCAGGTGTGTTTTCAACGGGAATGGGAAGCTGTTGGAGGAGTTGGAACTCGCGGCACAGTATGGTGTGCTCATTAATGTGGACAGTGAGTTCGACTTGGCCCAAATCATCGAGGCTAGCAGAATTACCGGGAAGAAGGTTAAGGTGTTGTTGCGGATCAATCCTGACGTCGATCCTCAGGTGCATCCGTACGTTGCGACGGGGAATAAAAACTCTAAATTCGGAATCCGAAATGAGAAGTTGTGGTGGTTTTTGGAGCAGGTGAAGTCTCATCCTGATAATCTTGAGCTAGTAGGGGTACATTGTCACCTTGGATCAACCATTACTAAGGTGGACGTATTCCGAGACGCGGCAGTAGTGATGGTGGACTTTGTGAACAAAATTAGGAGCGAGAATTTCAATATTCAGTACTTGAACATAGGAGGGGGCCTTGGCATCGATTACTATCACAAAGGTGCCGTTCTTCCTACACCGAAGGACCTCATTGACACGGTTCGGGAATTGGTGACGAAAGAAGGTCTAACTCTGATTATTGAACCGGGGAGATCATTGGTTGCGAATACCTCGGTTTTCGTGAGCAATGTGACTGGTGTGAAGACGAACGGGACGAAGAACTTCATCGTGATAGACGGTAGCATGTCGGAACTGATTAGACCAAGTCTTTATGATGCCTATCAACACATTGAATTTGTAGCGCCTCCCGCTGAGGGAGCAGAGGCGAAAACTTACGATGTCGTTGGGCCTGTCTGCGAGTCCGCGGACTTTTTGGGTAAGGAGCGTCAATTAGCTACACCAAAGCGTGGGGATGTACTCGTCGTGCACGACGCCGGCGCCTACTGCATGGCAATGTCATCAACATATAATTTGCGGATGAGAGCTCCAGAATATTGGGTGTTGGAGGATGGAAAGACTGTAGAGAAAATTAGGCATGCTGAGCAATTGGACGATCATATCCGCTACTTTGAAGGCCTGTGAACTAGGGAATTGCATCCTTGGTGGAAAATCTGAAGAGGAAGTCCCAGAATGCTATTATTCTTTGAAGTTTTCTCTAGTTACATTTAGAGGAAAGATTTTCTCTATTCTGAGCGAATGTTGTAACTACTGCTCCATTTTATTTATTCGCTTTTGGGTTCGGAACCTGCTCAGCTTGTTACAGTGGAAGGCAATTGAGTTCAACATAAGCAATCTGTGTTAATTAATGCTTGCTCTTAGTGTGATTGCTTACCTTAGTGAAACCTCCAGCATCATGGTTTTTTTTTGGAGATTTTGAAGATTTCTGTGCATCCTTGCGGGCGTTAGTCCCCATCTTATGATTATATGTTCTGGACTTTCCATCGTCGTCCAGCCTTGAACGACCGCTGCTGTTGGTAGCGTTGTTTCGGAATTATTTCCCCGAGTTTCCCGAGTTGATTCTGCAGGGTATAATACTCGCACATTGAATGCGAGGGATAGCAACATTGTCAATTTAGTACTGCTGCTTTTGTGGCTCTCAGGTACGTGTGAACAACATCGAGGTGGAAAGGTAAACCTCTAGCACAAAGCGGCAGGAACATGTTCTTTGGTACGCATTGCGAGGACATGGCGTCGTACTTGTCTGCATCATTCAGAATCGAACGGATTGCCTCATACATCAGGATTCTCTTTTACCAGATCTTTTGAATGCAATCTACACCACCTCAATTCATAGAGTTTTAATTTTTAATTTTTCCATGCAAAGCCTGGCACGGTTATCGTAAGCGGAGCTACATGCCATTTACGAACTTGTGAAGCGAAACTCTTACTCCACCGATCGTTTATTGGGATATTGCTCTGATAAGATAATCAAACGTTTTAATTGTGGATGTCTTTCACTACTATGTTTCATTGATATCGGAAGTTCTTTGATGTCGGAAGTTCGTTGTTGGTGGTTTCTGCACACTCACCGACTGATAGGTCCAACACAAAAAAACCATGCCATTCAAGTTAGTAATAACTGTTGCATGATGCGGTACCTTGAGAATTTTCCTACAAATAGCTGAGGTTACATGACTAAGTTCCGGTGGATGTCTTGAAGAGCTAGTCCACAGTCTTTGAGAAGAAACGATTGAAAACTATCACATAGATGAAGCTAGATGTTGGACTAACTAAACAACAACCGAGAGGCATCTTACCGAGGGCTTCCATGGGCTGGCAGGAAACCTCCCTGGCGTTTCTTCAATGGATACTCTTTTGATTCCTGTAGCTGCTGGTGCGGATTGAGTGGGAGTTTGGTCCTGAGATGCCCGAGAAGGTGTTCTGTTTGTTCGATTCATGGCTCTCGCTGATATGGCAGCCAATTTCCAGTCCAATCTTTCCAAAGAAGCCAGGATACTCAATTCTTGATCATCCGGGGGATTTAAGCCGTGATTCTCTTTATCACTCGAAGAGTCATGGAATCCACAAGGCTGGACTTGCCTGTTGCTCTGAGGCATGTTCTGCTTCCCGTTTGGAGACTGTTTAGCTTGCGAATATCCAACTTGAAGCGGGCCCTGTGAGGAATAAAAGCAATGCTTCGAGGGTTTCGTTCGTGGAGCTTCATTCAAATCTCGGTATCCAATAATCAGATATTTTGATGTCGTTTCTGTGCTCATTGGAGAGCAATTACGTAGGTTTGTTGTCTTTTCTAGCTTGTTACAACCTAAAACCCCTGTACTTGTAGAATTGCTTGCAGACTCCATATGACAACGAGAATTTTCTCCACCCTTCTCTGGATTCTCATCTGTTTGCACCGTAACGTCCTTCACATATGGTTGTTGATCATTTGAACCCCTCAATTGGTTCGTATCCTCAGAATGAAAACCAATATTAACTGGTGAAGGTAACTCCACGGACTCGATTGAGCACATAGGCGACAATGGAGCAGTCGAATTTGCTGGCTGTTCATTCTTTGTGCCACAGCATCTTGAATCAGCAATGGGCTCTACCCCTCCTCGTTGTTGTGGTTGGTTCTTCCAAGGAATTTCCCAAGCGGGTCCGCTAAGCTTTTCTCTGGATACCATCCCTTCGGAAGACGTTGGCACGTCTATGAAGTTGCTCAATTCGGCACTGCTGCAGTAGATGTTTGTCATTGGGTCCTGCTCTTCGTCATCTACTGAGATTGCACCAGCGACGTTGGAAGAGTACTCTACTGCCTCCTCATCGTTACATTCCTCCTCTAGTGTGTGTTCCATTTTGCCCTCATTACAAGCACGTATGGGTAAGAATATTTCATGGGTCTGCATGTTCGTCCCTGTAGTTCCCTTTTCAACCTGGCTGTGAATCAACTCACGTTCATAATCCGATGTTGAATGCATCCCGCTAAAACTCTCTGCAGGAGCCATCACAGCTCCATCGCGATTCTCGAGTCTGCTACGACTTCTGCTTGGGCAGAGAGAATGTCCGAAAATATCTTGCAAGTCCAAAGGCTTTAGCTTGCAATCCTCAAGGCGTGATTGAACAGCGATGACCTCAGCAAGTAGTCTTGTCGTGGCAGCCTCACTGTCTAGTGATGTGAGAAAGCTTTCCCTTTCTGATCCTCGATCCTTATCTATAAATTGTATTGGTGGTGTGGACCATTTCTCTAGATTTGATGACTGGAACTCTCTGTCTCTCTGCCAAGATTCGTAGGTTGATGTGTACATTGGAGGATGAGTAAAACAGGTTAATGGTGTCACAGGATTTGATTGTGAGAAATCATTTGGAATATTTGAAATGTCCCTTCGAGCTTCGTGAAATGATGTATCCATGCCACAGCAAGACAGCGTGTCTGAACTTTCAGTCTCCGTTTGACGACCTAAGCTAGATATTGCAATGTCAGCCTCTGATAATGCGTTGTCGAATGGAACTTTTGAAGAGGTATTCTGCTCCGAAGAGACAACATTCGAAAGCTGAAGCAGTTCTGATATGCCCACCTCTTCTGCTGGTGGAGGATACCGTTCTTTGCAGTTTAAATCGAATGGAATACTGAACGAATTATTGGAATAATCCGGGTCTTGGTGTTTTCCCCAGTTCAACGCGTCCTGGTCCAGCTGGAACTGATTTCTCATGGTCCTGTACGTTGATGAATTTTTCATGGTTATCAGAATTCTCGGAGTCGCATTTAACTCTGGCAAGAATGGTGCTCCAGTGTCCAAGGAGGTTTCCACTGCTGTTGACTGTGAGGTCAAAGAGGACATTCGATCGGTTGATGCTCGACAGAAAGTTAATGGGGTTTCTGAAAGAGAATTTGACGATTTCTGAATATCCTTGTTTGACTTCAAGCAGGACTTAAGAGGAGGAGCTTCTCTAATAGCTTTAAGATTGAAGTGTGGCCTGGGCAGCAACGATCGGGCGCCTGATTTGAGATTGTTGAAGGAATGCTCTCTGAACACTGCAGGTTGTATCATAAGAAGCTCTCTGCCAATGTCGGTGTGGTCTTTCACTGCCTCAATCGGAAACGAATACAGCTCATTATCTAAGTATCTCAATTCTTCCATGTCATTTTGCACGTAATCGTAACTCCTCTGATTCGTGCCAATGCGACTGTTGTCAGAGCCAGGTTTGAGTCCATCTTGGTGGAACCCAAATTCTTTACTCCTGAACCACACATCCAACATTTGATCAATCTTCACTGGTAGTAAAAAAACTGGTCTAAGAATTTACAGGACTCTACAACTTCCGAATCCTACCCAAAGACATACGTATGGTTCTCACGCTGAGTTCAGATATCCCTCAATAAAACTCACCACGAAGGCACCAGATACCTTGCAAAGTCTTCCTGTTGATCAACTGAAGGTTCCTAATGCTTTGCAGTCAATGATTTTGTTCTGGTTGAATGTAGATAATTAAAGAAAATAACTAAAACTAGGAGTCGCTGACTGATATCAGAAAGGAGATCGAAGCGCTCACGATAAGTAAGGTTCTTCACCCTCATTGGCATGGTTTATATCCGTGCCTTCCAATTGCATGCTCTCGTTTGGAAGTTGCTCAAGCTTTTGTAACCTTAGAGTCGCAACGGCAATTTCTTTCTCCCTCAACTTAATAAGAGTTTCGTAATCGCTTCGTAAGGAATCTATCCAAGCAGGTCGACCGAATTGTCCCTCCAAGTTGGGTTTCTGCATCCTTTCTAAATGATCTGGATGCACAGCGCGCATACACGCAATCAATTGGTCACGCTCATTTTTCCGACGTTCGAGGATCTTCTTGGCTATTTCCAGCTTCTCTTTCTCTCTTTGCATGGTGAACTCCTGACATGTTCTGCAAGCCACATGAAGATAGTGCCCAATGACTGCTAACATATCAATACGCAAAAATTCGGTAAGCTTCCAATTGAAAAACGTAGACAGATTATTCAATGAGACTAATTTTCTTCTTAACTTAATGAAGTTACTTTAGTATTAGAAGCTCGCCGTTGTTCCATGACACTGCAGCTTAACCTGGCATGAGTCCTCTCTTCGCCTTCTCCAGCCCCATATGGCTGGTATGAGAGTCTTTAACTCTTTAGAAGCTCCAATTCCTCGTCGTGTTCCTGCCTTGGCTCGTTTCTTCATTTGATCTCAAAACGAGTGCACACTTTTACGAGTCCAGCCCAAGGATTCCGGTTCACAACTGACCGGAGCAGAAGGAAAGCTCAATTTTCAATGGAATAGGATACCATTTAGCAGTAGATGGAGATAGCAGGCCGTTCATGGAGCCGTCGCCAGGAAACCCCATCAGAAAAATCACTGATATGTCAAAAAGTATGATGTAGTGCTTGACACCTGATTCGTAAGAGCCCTTCTCCCGAAGGATGAACCTAATTCCACTCAAAACTATTGCGCATTTTCAACACCTGTTTTTCCAGGATTGTCACTGTGGATGACCAGAGACATCTCCGCCTCAGGACCAAGTGTCACAAGGTGAGAACAACAAATTTTCCACCAGAAGAAGGATGTGCAAGAGAACTACGTGGTGCATTGAGACTCGAGCTGCACGGGTGTGGGTACTCCTGACAAAACACACGCCAGCCGAGTAGGCATTGCGCAGAGAAGTGAAGCCCCACCAAGCCAGCCTTACTACAAACACGAAATTCCGCAAGTTTACACTGCGACCAACCGAGGATCAAACACAAACACTATGAACGGGTGATGTTGCAGCAATCCAATATACATACAAGGCGATGAACAGCGGTAATACAGAAGAGCACGCTGATGGACCACCCTCACAGTTCAATTACAGATGACGAAGCGGGGACAGAGAAGCTGCACGACACACCAACACTGGAGGCGATAGCGAGGAAGAATCACATCGTATTGTTACGATTCACGGCCTGATTGAAGGTCCAGACGACAGCGAGCAAACCCTAGCAGAGCAAGCAAGTCCCATGTTCGGCAAATATTCATGGTACGCCAAGATTGAAAGAAACGAAAACGTGGTAGCGTCAACGCAAGGGAGTAAAAGAGACCCAGATGCAAATGATGGCTATTGCAAAGCTCCCCCAAGCGAAAGGCATCAAGAGACAAAAACAGAGCGTGAGAAATTCGGTTTTGCTTTGCAACCATGACTGGACCCAGTTCGGTTTTGCCCTACTCTCTCTCGCCACTCCACATGCAGACCAGGACATGGACCTCGCTTGGGTCTTCAAGCTTAACACCACCAAATTGTATTGCTGCACGATGAAATGGTGGAGTTGCTGAGTAGCTGAGTTGCTGAGGAGCGCACCATGAAACCTCAGTGCCCCACAATCAACAGGAATTCAACATGGGAGACGACCCACAAATGCTCTCTTCATCGCAATTGTTGGTGTTGATGCAACTGCGGTACATGCAGCAATACTCGAAACAGGGACTACGATGATGAGGTTTGTGAAGAGCATCCCATATTAAGCCATGAAGTTATCACAAATCCTCTGTGTTAGCAGTATATCAAGAGGTCTAATTTATCTTGTGTTTAAGTTTAGTGACGCTTGTGTCTTAGAAAGCCATTACAATCATCAAAAACGTGTAAAAAAAAATCTATGCCAATGATTTATGAATAAATATTCAATCCGTTGTAATATAGAATAGTTGAGTGAAACTGGAGTTCTTTCATGTTTCTTATGGGCGTTTAAAATAATGTGGTTCGTTTACACAAGGTAGTATGTTGGTCCAAATTCTTTGAGTAGGTTCAATTCTTTAAGCTAGATTTAAGAAGTGCCTATGGTATAAGTTTTTGGAAGTTTATATTTAAAAATACAACCCTAAACCTGGTTTTGATTTTAAGCTAATGAAAACAAATAGATCGCTATTTTGCAATCCCGAAGTTTCTATCAACATATTTTTTAACAATTGTATCTACAAAATAAAATGAGACCATAAAGTCTTTTTGGATTTCTATGTTTTTTTATTATAAAAGAAATTTAAATTTAAATTTACCACAAATTCTTTAAATATATATATATATATATATATTCTTAAGAAGAAATGTTAAATAAGAAACAATTGATATGATGATAATTTGATGAATTTTAAAGATGTTAATAAATTCAAATTTAATTTTTTCCTTCAAATCATCATTAGATCTACAAATTGATTTAAAAAATTCACATCTTAGATTCTTCAAACTGAGGAGATTATTCTTTAGTTTAAATATGAATTAAATAATAAATTCAAAATAAGATTAGCTGACTTACTAAGAATATTACTAGCATTTGAGTGGATTTATAAGATATGGACAAGTGCTTGATTTTTGACATTTTGATGGTGTGCAAAATTAAATCTACAAGGATAAATCTTTGTGGTCTACAAAGTCATCCATGCTTCTATTATTTTATTGGTTATAATAAAGGAATAGATGATAAATTATTTTTTAAAAAAAAATTGATGATTGGCAAGAGATTTCATTTAGACAAGCAAAATCATAATGCTTGGAATACAATAAGCCAATGCATCTAAAATACAATCTTTACCAACGCTTATGGTTATTATGCCTTATTATTTTTATATTTTTATTAAGAAAGGTTCTAAGCAAAATATACTCCTCTACCAGTAACATGAAACATTAAATGGTATTTTAACTAACACTAGTTTATTATAGGTATATCTGCTTATGATATTGGGTACCAAAATTTCTATATGAGTTGAGATTAAAACAAATTGAAGATATTTAGAGTGCAAACTTACAAAACTTATAGCCCTAAGATTTAGAGTGTAAAACATTTCAACTCCAATTTAAAGATATGTACATCCAAATTTTAATGATAAGCAAAATTTTAAAAGAATAGATTATTTAGCTTTGATAAGAGTCAAAACCATTTAAAACAAGTTATAAAAATTGGAATATATGATGGTAGACAAAACAAGAAGCTAATATTCATCTTCAAAATTTCAAAAGTGGGTGGGGAGGATTTGAAACTTGAGGCAAAAATGAAAGTATCTTCATCCTTACAAATGACTAACACCAAGATATACACATTGTCTGCAAAAAGAGAAAGAAAAAGAAAACCTACATATCACATAACAACTCTTACATTGCAACTTAAAATTTTCTTCTCATAAAATTAAAAAACAGATTTATTTTTGTTTTATTAATTTTTTTTCTTTCGAGTGTTTGAATCTCAAGGTCCTTTCAAAAATTTGAACTTCCCAATTAATTTCATTGGCTCACTTTTTCATTATATACCAAGTCTAAAGGCTTGTTGTAAACTTAATCAAGGAATCTAGAAAAATAATCCTCCTTTCATTCAAATTGGTTACATTACTCCAATTTTCATTTTCAGTTTAATTAATAAATATTACAGAGTTAATATCACGTGAAGAAATGATGAACTTTACTGTAACAAAAAACGAAAAGGCATTCGGTTATTTAATTAAAACAAATACTAAAGAGTAATGCTGATAGAAAGCTCATTTTTGAAGCTGTGACTATCAAGAAAATTGTACTACACTTTACTAGAATTGAGGAATAGTATGAGACTGTCTTCAGAAGGGACATGGATTGTCCTCACATAACTGTAATTTGGCAATGGGGAATGACACATACTTCTAATGAACAGACATTGTAACTATTAATGGCATTTCTATATTCCTGGACGTATGGAAAAGTATGCGATAAGACACTGATTAGTCAAAATCTTTCATCTAAAAAAATAATCATCATTTGGGGCGCGCTTATTGAATGTTGTTTAATTTTTTGTACCAATCATAAAAGAATGAATGTTAAAAAGCTTGCTATAATGACATTAATTTGGTCAATTAGAAACTTATAGTCGAGTTTTTCTAGTCCCTTCCTCCCCTCTCCCTTCATAGTCCATATTTCTTACCCTTCCGCTGCCCTTTTAACTCTGAAGATTGCCCTAGTGTGGATAGAACATACTCAGCTGCCCTGTCATGAATTCAAACGAGGGATTGTGCCCTAAATAAATAATAACCAAAACTCTGAATTAAAACGAGTAGGTATTTAAATCTGTACCTAGTGTCGAGAGAATTCGAGTCCACCCCTAAAAGCAGGCAAAGTTCTCATTATCTAAAATTCAACCAAAGCAATGAGAATTGAGGTCGAGTGGAGACACAGAAAACATTAAAAAGCCCAGAGAACATGTTTTGTAGTTGCCACACAAACATAATGATGCCAACCATTCGTTGGCTATTCGCAAAGGCGGAAACTTTTAAGATTGTACATCACTAGTTAATGTGTTCATCACATCATTTCAGGAAGATGCGTCATCCACCAGACAAATAAACAACTCGCTTGCTTACAAAGATACCGGCACTATAAGAGCAACTGGAAAAGCACAAGCACCAACCTGTAAATTAACCACAACAGAAGTGCTTCGCAAAGCAGCGGCTTCTCCACGGACTTGCCAGAAAAGTCCCACAATGTCCTGATCCGGCAATAGAAAAGTCTCTGGTATTGCACCACTACTCGCACCGAGCGGGAAAATCATCCACTAACCATGACCTCTCTGCTGTGCAAAGATAAATATAGCTTAAGTTCCACTTCAGTGCTCAGCATCATCAACTTTGGCATCCTTGACCTCGGGGCCGACCTCATCCTGTGATACAACATGAACAGTAAGTAAGCACCAAGAGAATACAAAAAGTTAGATCTTATTGATCTGCAGCACTTCACATTGTGTAATTAGGCAGAAACGCTAACCTGCATATCAGAGGTCCACAACGTCAGGTTGTCGCGGAGGAGCTGCATAATAAGAGTGCTATCCTTGTAAGACTCCTCTCCAAGAGTATCAAGCTCAGCGATCGCTTCATCAAATGCCTGCACAGAAGATACATAATAGTTTTATTTACAAAAAATAAAAATTGAACGAAAAAATAAAACAAGAAAATAATTCGGTTGTGAGTCTGAAATTCAAATTGTGGAAATACAAATCGAACTCTGTAAAGTTGCGAGTTGAAGTTACAGGCGTCAAGGAACAAGAACAGACCTGCTTCGCAAGAGTGCACGCCCGATCTGGTGAGTTAAGAATCTCGTAATAAAACACAGAGAAGTTCAATGCCAAACCCAGTCTGATGGGGTGGGTAGGAGCCAACTCTGTCAACGCAATATCCTGCAAACATAGATTAATGGCATTACCTGTTACAATATACTCTACTCTGAATAACCAGAGCATGCCATCCTATGAATCTACCTGACGAATGCGAACGTGTGAGAAATTGATGTGTTATTAAAAACCCTAAGGGTAAGAGCGGAGATCTGAACATCTGAGGAGACCAAATGCTCTGCAAACTACTTCAAAAAAAGATAAAACATTTGGATCACAGATGATCCAACAAAAGAAACGGCATCCTCAGCGAATTGAGACCAAACCTCTCGAAAAAAAAAAAAGACAATCAGAACTTAAAATAAAGCTGCGAACACTGTGTTTAGCTGACCATCAAACGACCAGTCGCATCACTTACTTGAGCAGACTTATACGCCAACAATGTCGCTTCAGCAGCTTCCTTCCTCTCGGCCCCGGTCTTAAACTCAGCCAAGTACCTGTGATAATCACCCTTCATCTTCAAGTAGAAAACTTTCGACTCCCCAGAGCTAGAAGTAGGGATCAGGTGGGTATCCAGAAGCTTAAGAATACTGTCACAGATGGTGCTCAACTCAGACTCCACCTTGCCACGGTACTCCTTGATGGCGGAAACGTGCTCGTCGTTTCCCTTGCTCTCCTCCTTCTGCTCGATGGAGGAGATGATCCTCCACGACGCCCTCCGAGCGCCAATCACGTTCTTGTAAGCCACAGACAACAAGTTGCGCTCTTCGACGGTGAGCTCCTCGGTGTCGACGGTCTTGGCCACCTTCTCCATGGCCTCCACCATCTCGTCGTAGCGCTCGGCCTGCTCGGCCAGCTTGGCCATGTACACATTCTCCTCGCGCGCCTCCGTCGCCATGGTCGATCTCGGTCGTTACTGCACCCAAGCGAGCGAGGAAAAGCTTGAACAAACGAGCCGGGAGAAGGGAATGAAGAGCACGGGGGTGGAAGCGGCGATGCAGAGGGGGAGGCGAGGAGTGGAGAGCAAGAGCAAGCTGAGCTTGAGCAGGGGGATGGCGAACAAGCTAACAGGGGAAAGGCGCCATAGAAAAGGATGAAGCTCAGCGAAGGAGCCTACAAGACGCTAGGTATTCATCCATTCAATTCATCCATCCATTGTGACCATTAATAAGGAAGGGGCCTCGCTGGCAGGGCCGTTTGGGATCCGGATATTCCTCTCGCCTTCGCGAGGTCCCCCTCCCCCACGTCTCGGTGATGATTCCTGGGCCTTCCTCTTTGGATGTCATCCGTATTTTTCATCCATTTCGTTATCTTTTGGAAGTTGGGCTTCTCACCCCAAAATTCAAGGGCCAAGAACAAGGAAATTTCTCCCACTCCACCCGTGCTCCATATATTTCAATACAAAACTTGTATATATATATACATATATATTAATAATAAGAGATACACGTCAAGGATAAGTGTGAGACGTGATAATGAAATTCTTTCATTGGTTCCTATAGTTTGATTACTTATTATTATCATTATTTGGTCGTAATTATCTTATCTTTACTAGATTCTTTTACATTTGCATACTTTAATTGTCTTATTTTGTAAGTGTTATTCTCTGAGAGGTTAAAATTCAAAATGATAGGTGTTATGTTGGTTTTCTGTGTGGTTTTGGTAAAAATAAGTATATGACAATTTCATTAATTACAAGCATTTTCTTTTGTTGATATATTTACTATTTAAAAATGTAATGCAGTCTCATTATTGAAAAGAATATATAGTCAATGATAAATATTGTATGTATTGCTAAAAGCTAGATACAAATTATTTGCTTAAAAAGTGCATGATATTTACAAAGTTCAAAATCACAGTTAATGATAGCTTTAAAAGGATTAAATAATAGGGCTTTAATGTAGTATGTAGTAATATATGTAGTAATATATATATATATATATATATATATATAACAATTAAAATGTTACATGTAATAATCTTTGAAGTGACATAAGAGTGCTTCAAAATAAAATCAAATCCAACTAATTAATATTTATGATTTATAATATTAGTTAATTAAGTTTAAATTTTTAATTGATTTTATATTTTAGAATTTCATACAATTTAACTTAATGGTAAATTTATTCTTAAATCGTTTAAAATTCACAACTTAAGAAAGATGTTGCACTGTTACTTCCAATTGACACACAAGGTAAGTGTGTGTTGTTTTCTATATTGTATTCTAATTATATCAGTCAAACTCATATTTATAAAGTAAATTAGAGCATTAATAAAATGAAATAAAAAAATATAAAATAAATACAGCATAAAACCAATCATTTAATAGTACTGTCATGTTCAAAAAAATATATTGTTAACATTCTTAAAATATTCTGTCAAAACCAAAGCCTATTCTAAAGATTGATTATTTTATTAACACCAAATCATGTTTTCTAACTGCATGTTTTTGTAGTCATTTGAATTTGAACATCTTCACCTTCTTGTTAGTAAAGATAAAGCAAGTTTAATTGTACAATCTTCAGAGAATATCAAATTTTTGAGATTACGTTTTTATTTACCTATTTTATTTATTGAAATTGCTCAATCAATTACAAACATAAAAAACAAGATTATTTGAATTACATAATTGCTTTTAAGGTAAAGTGGGAATATCAAAATATTGAATTCAATCTTTTTTTGCAAACAACTTTAAGGAACTGCATGTTTTTAAGGAACAATCTCGTTTTTGTAATCTTGTTACAAGTTAGTGGTGTAATATCAAGTAGAATCAAAATTAATTCCCACCTACATTTTTTAAAAAATAAAATTAGAAATTATTAAATTTAACTTAGTAACAAAAAAAATACTTATAACAGCAGTTTATGGTAGACTTGATATGTCCATCTAATAATCAAAGGCCAAAATAAAGTCTTCTAGACTTCTAGAACTTCAAATTATTATTGAAATGATACAAAATATAATTTTAGAGAAAATTTGTCTTATATTACATACAAAATTTAAGATTATTTTATTATTTATTATTTATTTATTTTTTGAATCTCGTGAAAATACTTTTGAGACATACCTTGTCAGTATATTTTCAGCATTAAAAATGTTTAATAAGATTTTCAGAATTTTAAATTAATTTTTATTGAATAATATAAAATACATCATTTGACATCTTAAACTTGTTTGTACTAATTAGAGAGACTAAATATAATAGACATAAAAATAAAAGCTATGAAAAGGAGCAACAATTTAAAATTATATTAATTATCTTTTAAACATTGTTAATTTTTATAAGATGTTGACATTAAGTAATATATCACATAGCATTAAAACCTACATAATTTAATATATAGATGCCATAATTTTGTGTTCAAATAAATATTATATATATATTAAATTAAACAATACATATCTATAATATAAAGAGGCTAATATCAAAACCTAAAAGAATTCATTAAAATGATAGACTCTAATTGATATTCTATGTCATCCTTTAGTCTTTTAAATTAGAATGGGTAGAATATATGATGTAAGCTACAAAATAGGTAGTCTATAATAAATAAAGTTAAAATAATATTTTATATTCATAATATACTTTTTAATGTGGAATTATCATATTATTGAATATTAAATTATAATATATATAAATTATTAAAAATATACATATTTTATACCAATTCATGTATTTAATTATTATGAAAAAATGAATATATGTCATCATTAAGTTTTAACATTTATGTATCACCGCAATATATAAAAATAATTATTTAAATTTTATTATGTAATTTTTTATTTTTCTAAAAACACAAAAATTTAATATAATTTAGATATACTATTAATAGAGATATAAAATTTTAAAACATGTATGAATATTATATTATATATTCATGAAGATGTTTTAACCATCAATATAATTTAATCTTTTTTTATATAAAAAATCTGTAATAAAAACATGTATTATTTTTTAAGATGTTTGATCAATTATATACAAGGTTCTTGATAATCAAAAAATACATTCAGTTAATAATTATATATATATATATATATATATATATGTACATATATAATTTCTTTCTTTATTTCTCATGATTTGTTTGAAACTATTACTTTCATTTTTTAGTTTATTTTAATGACACTTAGACTAATGTTATATTTATTTATAAACCTATTTTTTTTGCACAATGTACACATGCCAACAATAACATATGTAATTTTACATGTTTCTTCAACTCAATTTTTTATAATGTCAATAGTTTCTAAGTTATTGAAGTTGACATGATGTTAAAAGAACTGTTTTGCATTTTAAAGTTGTATACCAACATCACCAATTAGTAACTCTTATATTTTAATTACTAGTTCTACTTTAACTGTTAGAATATAAAAATAAATAAAATTAAATCTATTACAGTTAAAATTTATTATTATTTTAAAATTTTGAAAAACAGAAATCAAAATAATTGATTATAAATTTTAATTAAGTGAAAATCATTCATATGATAGACTGTTTAAAATTGATTTAAAAAATCCCTTCAAAACAGATATTTTGCATAATATTAATTCGTTTTATAATCTACATATGATTTTTTTGTATTTCATTTATTATATATATATATATATATATATATATATATATATATATATATATATATATATATATATTCTTTAACTTTATAGCTTGATAAATACATATGTATCAGAAATATCAATGTCAATTATGTGTATTAACTTTCAGACAAAAATTCATCAAGTATTAGGTGGACATTTTCCTTTCACTGTATAGATACCCCCATGTCACATCCTTGAATACACATAGTAAAACTCTTATTTACACTAAAACATTTATGGATTTTTTATATTTTTATATTTTTTGTATGTAATGGATTTTATAATATTATTTAACATTTATTATTAATTGATTGAATTTAATATAATTTCATAACATTTTTCATGTGATTTAATTTAATCTTAAAAACTTATTAATTTTATTCAAATAATATTTTTATTGTAAAGTTGTCTTGGGACTTTTTGGTATAAATGTAAGTTTTACTGTGTGTAAGCAGAGGTGTGTGACATAGGAGAAGTCAACACAACAAAAGGAAGGTGTCCTCCTAACAGTTTCTCCAATGTTCTTATGAATAATTCATGCAACCAATTATTAGACATTATATATATATATATATATATATATATATATTATTTACAAATAGTATGAGTTAAAAAATGAAACAAATATATTGTACATCTCTTGAATCAGATTATAAATTTTTGTTTTTTGTTTGTGAACTTTTCCATACTTTCATTTATTTATTTAAGCACTATCATTTTGTTATCCTATTTGATACAATAAATTCTATATTTTACTTTGCAATTCTTTTGGTAGATAGGTGAAGGTAATAAGTTTGTATAATTACTTTTTTCACAAAATTAATTGTAACTGATTTATAACAAGACCTTTTTTGAGAAATCAATGTAAAATCCATATACAAAAGAATAATATTAAATACTGTATATGTATATGAATATGTATTCAATACTATCCCCCAAATTCAAAGTGCACCCAGAACAAGATAACACAATCTTTCTTGGCTCAATCCAAGGCTCAAACACCCAAACAGTGGCAAAGAATGCAGCTCCAAAGCAGAAGCGTGGGAGTTGGTTCAGAAACTTGCAATTGCAGTGACACCCAAGCCCATGAGTCTCACACTGGGTGGCACGCATTCAGCTGGATAGCACTTTCATCCAGATCTATAAATTTCAAAGCATCACTTCAAACGGTCGTCAGCTGCACTATACCTCCAGCTTTGGAAGAACAATCAAGAGTTCACGTGTTGATTCAGACTTCTTTTACTGAAACTTCGTGCTAGAACTGCAAAATCTGTGGCGCGGGTCTAAATTAAGACGAGGAGAAATGTTCATTAATGTCATAAACATAGAAACTAGATACGAGCTCGATTTATGAGAAGACAGGACGGAAAGCACTGACAAGGGACATTGTACAGTGTTCAGACACAATGAATCTTCGACCACCGTTTAATAATCATACTTATCCTAAGAAGCCGAGAAACTCGAAAGTGTAGGACTTCGAACTT